CTGAAACGAAAGCGATATACAAATAGGAACGCTCCAAGGAGTTACAACACAATCTCATCAGCCACTACCACAACCAGAATGCGTTTTCGAAGAATCTTCACAAGAAACATGAGAGGAAATCCACAAAAATATTCAAAATAAGAGGCAAGGAGCGATTTACGTAATACTTCGCGAATCCCGGTAACGTTCTTCAGCCCGTTTTCCTTCCAAAGAGATCTAAAAGACCATGGTATTTATTTACGGCGTTATTCCTATTTTTATTGTAAACTAGCAAAATATCTGGTGTATAAAGTCGAGTTGGTGACAACATCTATAACACAAGAACGGCTGGACCACCTGTAATTATCTCAAATTTGTTGAATTCATGTCTGCTCCGAATAGCCAAATAGTTATTAAAATAACATAAAAAATCCTTAGATGGCGCTGTGAAACAAAAGTAAAAATTAAATGTTAATTGCAACCCGCAACACACTCAGAAGGCTTTTTTAATCTATATCGTTAATGAACTGCTAAAAAAAGCGTTCTAGGGCATTAAAAACTAAAATGTTGAGGTCGAAGGTTACCAAGGAGACCTTTCTCACATCGTAATCTATATGATGAGATTTTCTTGAACATTCTATTACATTTTTGCTAGTCCGGCGCTTCTTCATATTACCCCACCTGCTCAGAGACGTGCGGAACCAGAAACTAAATGTGTTGGAGAGGGACAGAGAGAGGCAGACAGAGATAAGAGTCAGAGACAGGGACAGAGAGAGATGGAGAGAGAGACGAAAAGAAAAAGAGGGAGTGATGGAAAAAGAAAGGGAGGGGGAAGGAGAAAAGGGGAAATGAAGAGCAGAACAACGTCCGCCTGGTTCCGCTAGTTTTATATAAACCACGTATTTAAGATTATTTTTAATGTAATTGGTTCAAGTTTCAATACAATACTACAATTATTTTTCATTTTATTTTACAGTACATTGCTATAAGATTACAAATGTTTATCTTATGCATTGCTACTGCCCTCCAGCGAAACTATTCGGTATCAGATCCTCCGTACCGTCTCTGGCGGATTATATTAGGAACCAAACTGCTCTTAGCGACAGGGGGGAAAATTGTCGTAGTGCATCTACCAACATCTTATTTAAATTATTGAATTTACACATTTTTCTTGTATTAATATTTATCAAAGTTTACCAAAACTTTGCAAAGACACTGAGAAAATCTTGAAGACGACCTTGTAAAAATTTCGAATCTATTTATCGACAAGTTTTTGTGGTATTGATGTGGGCTACATGGCGTTGAATTCATACTATTCTTGAACACTATTAAGTTTGGTTGTTTTTTTTAAGAAAGAGTGCGTGTATTTGTATTTACGTGTGGTGTGTGTGTGTGTGTGTGAAAGAGAGAGAGAGCGAGAGGCGGAGCAAGCAATCTGCAAGAAGTCGATGCCTCTATTACGAAACGAGAACAAAATGAAAATGGCACAACCATTTGCCGCAGGATTCTAAGCTGCGATACAAATTCTAGAATCCCAGAATTTAAATTTATAATTTCAAAATAACTGTCTTCTCTCCTACCAAACGGCTTGCACGGGCGGTTTCACTACACAGATGAATTTCCCCTAACTTTTTTCTTATGAAACTTTTTTCTTATTTTTTTCTTTCTTATCTTTCTAACTTTTTTCTTATTTTTTTGAGTTCGAATTTTTACCTGTATTTTAATGTTCAAATTTAAATAGACTTCATAGTATGTCTTTCACAATTAGCCAAGCAACTTCACTTTTCCATGAACTTTGTGATTTTTTTTAGAAATTTGTAGTAATTTCATGGAAACACTTAACATATGCAAACGTCTACAAAACTCTTGCCATAAAACTGAAATATTACAAAATATAATTCTCTAAACATACATTTTCGGTGTTTAATAGCAGTACGACAATTGATATATTATTTCTTGTACAGCATACTGCTCATATTTGTCCTATTCCAACTTCTTGTCGACTAGATTCTTATTGCCATACGAGTGTTCTCGACAACCATTGCAAGCTGTTTCAAATATGAAACAAATAAAGAGTTAATTTACAAAGTAAATAATCTTAGTTTAAGAACAATTTGTTTGTCTCGGCACAGGAAAATGAATCAACACATGTTCGAGATAACTTGAAAATGAGTAAGCTAGTAGCAAGCATCACATCCTCAAGAAACAAATCAAGGATACCGCCTCCTTTGTGTTCTCCTTTATGTTCTGAAAGACTATATTCATTTTATCTCTTACTAACACAGTCAACGTCGTTCACTTTTATCGGAATCCATCTTAAACAACTATAGGAACAAGGAGGTTCAAAAGTTCGTTGTGGCTGAATAGTCTTAGCAAATAGCAGTGGAGTTCTGAACAGATATTCGGAAATTTATAGCTCGGCGTTGATAAAAACACAAGCCTGCGCAGTTAATTTTACGAAGAATATTTTTCAGATACATTGCGCTAGATCTTGATATAAAAATGACTACGCCCGTGAGAGGAGGGGGAGGATACTTTCAATTTTTGAGTTTCATTTTTATCCACTCTCAATAGATATGTGTGATCGTTATTAAATCGAATTAACCTTTGAAATCTACTATTTCTCCTAGTATTTGATTATTATTTTCCACCCTAAATGTATACTATATACCTATTAAATCGAATGAATCGTTAGAACCTGTCACTTAAAGCATTCGACTCTATATGTCATTCTGAGACGCATAAAATAGTTACTAGCCCATCGTTTCGAGTTGTTTTTCACCAACAATGATTCCCACGCGATATAAGTTACTGAATTGACTCGACCGAAAAACTTAAAATTATTTCGAATTTTGTACCCTCTAGATTTCTGACACCAGTAAATTCGGTAATTACTAAATCTCAGGAATATATTCCGATAGTCCGTTTTGGTGCAATATACAATTATGGTTGTATTGCATTTCTCAGTGGTTTTCATGTTCATGTCCCTCCATGCCCACGAGATTGGAAAGTCAGCTAATCATCCGGCTCTAAGAAACATAATACATACGGAACGCATTTCTATTTATGCTCATATATTGAAAAAATATTCGTATTAAGAACGGTTTCGTTTTCAGCCATATTCTTTCCTTTGACAAACCACCCTAAAAGAAGTATATTATTTATGATTTTTATGTTTTCATAACATTTCACATTAATGAATGCATGATATGGAATGTAGTTTTAAAAGCATATATGTTTTAAAGACTATTTCATTTGAGAAATAAAGAAAATAAGACCAAAATGTACCGAGGTGATTATATATTCCTTCATTATTTTGGAGGCTTTTACCATAATTATTCAAGTAAAATTTAGAAGAACGATAAACAAATACACCGTTCACCGTTCTAAGACTTTTTACAAACTAAATATTACATAAAGTACCAGAATAAAAACGTAAACAGTTTAATCGAAATAAAACTAGTAAAATATCTCCACAAAATGGTGCAATATTGTTATACAGAGGTAAAAATTAAAAACTATTGAAAAATCAACGAGAAAACAAATCGGCGATCGTAGACATCCAACGGACCAGTCAGGACTGGCGGACAGAACAGGACAGGGCAGGTGGACTGAACAGGACAGTCAGAATCTGACGGTCAGGTTATGAGGCAGGCAGGACGGCATAGACGGATAGGACAGCTTAGACAAACGGGCAGGCGGACAGAACAGACAGATTGACACATAAGCCCACGGAAAAGGCCGACGGACAGGGTCTGGCAGATGGAAAGGATTCGAGAAGACAGGCGGGTAAGACATAACTGAATACGTGGGCAGGACAGTCACAGGTCAGAGGAAACGCACAGAACAGTCGGGTCTCACGACGGGTGGAGTGACACTTACAGTGACACTGACACACAATCGTTTGCAGAAAAACAGATTTCAGCATCGGAGACTCCCAAAATATGTATTTCCGTCAACATCTCGACGTGGACTTTTTGTAGGATTACAGTACACACACGCTCGCACATTCACTTTCCTCACACTATCTCTCTCCCCTTTCTCTCACTCACACCGCTCTCTCTCTCTCACTCACTCCCCTTCTCTCACTCACTCTCCCCCTCTCTCTCACTACCACACTCCCCCTCTCTACTCTCACTCCACTCCCCCTCTCTCTCACTCACTCACTCCCCCTCTCTCTAACTCACTCACTCCCCTCTCTCCCTCTCACCTACTTCCCCTCTCTCTCACTCACCTCCCTCTCTCATTCACCTCCCCCTCTCTCTCACTACTCCCCTCTCTCCCTCTCACTCACTCCCCTATCTCTCTCACTTTACTCACTCCCACTATTCTCTCACTCACTCCCCTATCTCATCTCACTCACTCCCCTTCTTCTCCCTCCCTCCCCCTCTCTCTCACTCACTCCCCCCCCCTCTCTCACACTCCCCCTCACTCCCCTCCCCCTCACTCCCCTCCCCTCTCTCTCACTCTCCCCCCTCTCACTCCCGTCCCCCTCTCTCTCACTCACTGCCCCTCTCTTACTCACTCACTCCCCTCTCTCTACTCTCCCTCCCCTCTCTCTCTCACTCAATCCCCCTCTCTCTGACACTCACTCCAACTCTCTCTCACTCATTCCCCTCTCCGCTCGCTCATCCTCCCTCTCTTTCACTCACTCACACCCACTCTCTCCCTCTCAGTCACTCCCACTCTCTCAGTCTCTCCCCTTTCTCGCTCCCTCTCTCTGCTTCGCTCTCTCTTTCACTATGCACAGAAGTAAAGCGCGTGCGTGCGTGTGCGTGCGTGCGCAGGAAGCGCGAGGAGGAAGGGCGGCGGCGGCGGCGGCGGCGCTCGCGCGGGGGCAGCATGCTGCGGCCTCGCCCAGGCCCTCCGGCGGGAGCGGCGGCGGCGGCGGAGGCGGCGTGCACCTCGGGGGGCCGCGCCGCGCCGGCGACGGCGTCGCCCGCGAGGTTGCGTGGCGGCGGCGGCGTCGGCGACGACGCGGTGCTAGCGCCGGCGTCGGCGGCGTCGGCGTCGCAGTTGCGCGCAGGACGCCGAGCCGCGTGGAGCGCCCCCCGCCGCGGCCGCACTTGCTGTCGCCGACCGCGCCGCGCGCCGCGGACCGCACGAGGACGACGACGGGCGCGACGACCACGAGGACGAGGACGAGGACGAGGACGGCCGTGGGATGACGCACTCGCCACACGATGGCGGGGGGGAAGGCGGAGGAGTGCGGCTCGCAGGTGGATCGTCGCGCCGAATCGCCCGCGCAGGACAAGCAGGTGGGTGTGCCGCAAGGCTCGTTTTCGTGGCCATTTTTTTCCTGCGCGAATTGTTACGCCGATTATGGAACGCGAGTCTTTTGGATTTCGTCGTTACTTCGACCACCGAGCACAATCCTGAGAAACATTACTTGAGCAATTACATAGTCGTGTGCAAGTGCTGCGTTCTTCTTGCCATATGACACAAGATGTTTTATCCATATTCATAGTTCGGTGGCAGACGACAGTTGATAACGAGTGTGAACTGCTGTGATTCACGTGAGGAAGTGTCCAATCCCTACATATTAATAAAAGGTTACGTGTGCATGTGCAAAAGATAGTATTTGTGACAATTTCTCTAACACTGAATACTTACAATAAGGTTGGTGTCACCTGGTTGTGAACCATGAGCGTCACAATATTGGCAGTTTCGTGAAAAATAGATGCAGACTTTACAGCCATCTGGCTGCTTTCAAGAATAAAATAAATATGTTTGAATTTATTGTTGACGTACCCGTCTGCAAGAAGGACGAATCATAGGTACTTTCTTTCAATATTATGTGAACAAGTGTAACAGTTGATCTTCGTCATCTAAGATAATTATGAACATATCGACCAATCATCATCCACTCTTTCAGTTATAATTCCCAAGCAATCATATTTTTAATGAAAATACGAAATTTGTCTTGTTTTCTTTCAATTAAGTTATTTGTTGGATCTCTCGGATTAATTTTTACAAGTTTGTAAAAAGTTATCAAGTACATTAATTAGCTATTCCGAAAAATAGCAATTCTTAATTCGCTATTTGCCAATGTTAACATTCGCTACTCTTAACGAAATTATCAAAACTGCTTTTCTTTTTGAGACAGCTGTTGTAAAATTTAATACTAAAATTACGTTCGTTTTTAATTTTTAAGGGCAAATAATATGTCGATTCTAGCACATTCACAAAATAACACTAAAATCTATTATGTCAATTAGCGTTCAATGAATTACTGCCAGCTTCCATGTAGCAGGAGGGACAGCATCTCCGACTTCTTTCTGTGTCAACAAGTGTAACAGTTGATCTTTGATATCCACGATAATTATTAACATTTCGACCAATCATCATCCACTCTTTCAGTTATAATTCCCAAGCAATCATATTTTTAATGAAAATATGATATGTGTCTTGTTTTCTTTTAATGAATCTATTTTTTGGATCTCTCGGATTAATTTTACAAGTTTTTAAAAAGTTATCAAATACGTCATTGATATTATAAACTCTATTATGTCAATTAACACTAAATGCTATTATGTCAATTTGCGTTCAATGAATTACTGCCAGCTTCCATATAGAAGTAGGGGCAGCATTTCCGACTTCTTTCTCTTTTGCAAATGGGATTTATACTTGTGATACTATTGTCAGATATAATTTCAACAATTTTACCAAATTCCTTGATTCTAATTATTGACATGTATTTCCCCTCTTAGACTTAATGTTCAGAACTTTTTCTTTCTAATATTTGTGGGCCTAAATGATGGTTCATTTAGGGGGAATAAAAGAATAGTTATCATGGATTTGTCGCCAGCCGATAGTCTGCAGACTCAGAGAAAAAAGATACAATCGAATTTGGGAATTATTAAATCATTTATAATTCATGTAATAATACCAAAACCATATATCAAGAAATACTTATATTATTAAGGACAAATTTCACCGCATATAATACTAGTGGCTAGTGGGCTGCAACAGCAATAATGCTTCTGAACAAAACTACACACAATGGTTTTCCAAAATTTAGCACGCACTCTGTTTAACAACAAGAAATAAAATACTCTCGTGTAACACTGTAATGAAAAAAAACTTTAACAAATTAGTGGAGCTAAAACAGCACGAACTTTCTCGCCTGTATTTTCATTTCAAAACCTATATTTAAAGAATATATTTTATAAAGAGGAAAATCTTTCTTGTAAGACGCCGAAAATAAATTAAATTTTTGCAAATTTGATAAAATCTACCCACCAAAAATCTAGCCGCTAGCGCTGTTCACAGAAGAGACAACGGACGGACAGGGACGTTTTGCCGTCATTCGATTTTTCGGCAACAAGGACCCACAAAATATGAATTCTGGCTACACCACGTGCTAGATTTTTTTCTAAACTTCACAATAGGATTTATCCACGTTTTCCTTACCAGGGACGACAATATGTTGTTTGTTTTTGTTTTGCCCAAAATTCGTCGTGTCTTCGTGCAACACATAACTTTCTCTCTACTGAGTAAGAAAAAGATCCTGTTCCTTAACGCGCCCCGTAAATATGTCGTGTGCGTCATCTTCCTTGGAACTGTTCTCTCGCATAATGTTAGCTGTGCAGTAAGCATTATCGCACTAAAAATGAGATTTCGTTCGGTAGCCACAAAAGAATAGCGGAATAACAAAAAAACATTTGCACTTCTCGGTCAAAATCGAAACTGTTTCATTGTTTGTTTTTTATCAAGTTCAGCGTATGTAACGAATCTTACTCACTTCTCCCAGATCGAAGGTTGCATAGTTTTCTTTCAATTTCTGTACGCTTTATTTAAAAATTCAATTACGATGCAAATATGTTTAATACTATCCAAGGGGAGAAAATGACTTGCCTTCCAATATTGCCAACTCTGCTTCTTGTAGTTCAACTATGAATAGTAAAAGAGAGAAGTGGATTGTAGGGATCTAGAAAATGCGTTCGTATTATAATTCTCCCACAAACGTCACATTCAGATTTGACAGTTTTTTGACGATAAATTGAACGAGAATCGAATATATGATTCTGGTAATGAGATAAAATTGTGGAATAATCATAACGCCTACAATCCTATGAAATGTCAAATCTCCTCCGATATTACCTCAGCCTCTTAGGGAAAATAAGAATTAAACATTTATTAAATCCTTATATTTTGGAATAGAATAGCTTATGGTTCGCGCTTACAACTAAATCTTCACAGACCGCGAAGTCCTGACTGTCGCAGATATTCTACCCCGCTAGATAAAAATAAAAAGAAGAAGAAAAATAAGAGTAAAGAAAATAAATATATAAAAAATAAAAAGTAAATATACAATTAAACAATATTTTAAATATATCTAAAAATAAATAAAATAATAAAATATTAATAAACGATTACGACGATAATAAATATATCATAAAAATAATATAAAATATAATACAATACATTAAATACAGAATAAAAAAATAATAATACGCATAAATAAATGAATTAAATATGTAATATACAAATAATACATTAACAAACGATAAACGAAAGATAACGATAAAATATTAATAATCGTGTCGACGAATGTCACTCTCTGAACATGAATTTTGTAAACAAGTCCGATCGGCCATCTCTGTGATCGATTATGGACGATCGGAGCAGTGGAAGAACCTGTCGAAAAATGGCATGAACAAAAATGCTTCATAAGATTTATTTTTTAGATTGGGTCCCTTCCTTTTTTGTGAGATTAGTAGAAATTAAACAAGTTAGAATGGTACACTTAGGAAAAGAACATTTTATCTTGTATGTCAAAAATATATATAAATCATCGTCAATCCCTTGACTTCACGTAGGTATCAAACATTTCTACCAAAGTAATAGTAATAGCAGAAATTATAAGAAGAACAAAGCAATTATGATAAAAAAAAGTGATACTAATGTCAATAATTTCAATTATTAACAAAAACTACTGTCAATAGTGATCCTGATGAAAAGAACAAAAGTGTAGAACCTTAAATACGCGCTGGGGTAAAAAGACATAGTATGTCATTTTATCCCAGTATCGAGTATGTCATTTTACGTTTAGTTGATACGTTCTCTGAGTAGACGTAGAAATAGCAAGCACGTGGACACGCAGATGAGATAATGTGCTTAAAGTAATCAGAAAGAATTCACTTACCTTGTTTGTTAGAAATGTACCGTACAAATATAGCTCCGAAACGAAGTAAATTATAACGGGAGAACCACTCACAAATTCGAACTCTCCATGACTGGTTTTCGTGATAAAAAATTTAACATAAGAGAACTGCATTGTTAAATACTCCGTGATTTACTGTTAAAAATCATATAATCTACCATGCTCTTGCCAAGTTCTGCTTTTGACAAGAATCAGGTCAAATATGAAGTGTGTTGCTTTATCCTTGTATGTCATTTTAGGACTGGTGGCAAATTTTCGACACAAAAACTCTTATTGCCGGGCCATGGACAGAAAAAATTGAATAAATTCAGTTACTAAAGAAAGAAAACCAAATCCTCTAACACGTGGTGTAGTCAGAATCCATGTGTTGTACGTCGTAGATACCGAGTATTCGAATGATGACAAAACGCCTGTCTGCCTGTAATTACATTTTTCTACCTATTTGCATTTACTTTCAAAAGCTACCAGTGTTAGTGTGTGGTAAAATGTATATCCCAAATAAACTGGCAACACGCGAAAGCAACCACCGCTGCCACAGCCTCCGCCATCGGTAGATCGTATTATTTATTAACTTTTCATTGTTTTAATTTCTCGCACAGTGTTTACGCAGAATATTTAAAAGCTAAAATACGCTTCGGATATGTTCGTGAATACCCTGAATACCTTATACGCTGAATTCAAAGTCAAAAATAGATTTAAATAGTCATTTAAATTCTGAAAAAAATATATTTTTCACTCTTCCTTTATTTACGGGATAAAGTGATATTTGAAGCAAAGAAAGGCATAAATGAAGACATTACATAACAATATCATTATACTATTGCGAGGAATGGTGTGCTGTTGTAGCATCACTAGTTTTTATTTTATTTACGACAAAAAACAGTCAAAAACTGCATACTCTGAGGGTGTTTATAGTCGGATATGTTCGTGAATACACTGAATTCAAAGACAGAAATATATTTTCATTTAAATTCTGAATAAAAAATATATTTTCACATTATCTTTATTTGCGGGATAAAGAAATATTTCATGCATAAGAAAGGCATAAATTAAGACATTACATAACGATATCATTATAGAATTGCTAAGAAG